GAGAGAGAAAGAAACATCAATATAAGATGGATGGGTTGCCTCCGCATGCACCCTGACTGGGGATCAAACCCAAAACCTATGTGCTCTGACCAGAATCAAACTCACCCCCTTCTGGTGCATGGGATGAAACTCCAACCAACTGAGCAACACCAGTCAAGGCTATCGTTTTACTTTCTATCCGATCCCAGAGGTGTTTCCTTGCTTTGCCTTCTCCCACCTCCCTAACCTGTCACCAATGGATTTCGAGTAACCCACTTGAGTCTGCTCTTTTGATTGCAATATATAAATTAAGGTGCAAACCTGCCATTCTCTGGATCAGTGGTTCTCAACCCTCCTAATGCTGCGACCCTTTAATACAGTTCCTCATGTGTGGTAACCCCCAATTTATTGTTACAAATTGAACATAATTAAAGTGATTAATCACAAAAACAATATGTAATTATATATGTGTTTTCTGATGGTTTTAGGCGACCCCTGTGAAAGGGTCGTTGGACCCCCAAAGAGGTCGCGACCCACAGGTTGAGAACCGCTGCTCTGGATAATTTTCTCAATACATTGAGATTTTTGCCTCCCAGCAATTGTCAGTTTGGCTCAAACTCACAAAAAATCTCTGTAGGTTTGAACGTTTCTTACATTGACATAACCCAAACTGAGTGCAAAGAGGAGCTCCTGTGGGGGGTGGGGGGGGCAACCTCTCAAAATCCTCAAGTCCCTTTTAAGGAACAGATATATAATAAAAATATAAAAGAAACTATATTAGAAATGCACAGAGGTCTGCAAAACAAGCTTTTTCATTCCCAAAACCCAAACCAACACAAGGGGAGAAAAACGAACGCAATGCCTACCTGTGCCAAAGTCTGATCCTGCCCCACGGAGACGCTGCACTGGCACGGACTGTGACGAGGAAATGAGGGCTGCGGGGTGAGGAGAGCGAGCCACGCGTGGCCTACCACCGGCAGCAGTGCACTCTCCACTTCGAACAACGCGCCTCTTCCCTCCGGCAAACCCAGCGTTGTTTCGTCACTTGGTGTGCCCTAGTATGTCCCCTCTGTGGGGGGAAGTGGGGTGGGGAGGTCAGAGGAGGCGGGGAAGGAGCCTGCAGCCACTGGGCCGACGGGTGCCCCTGGCTCCAGAGCTGCTTTCCCTGCAGTAACTGGCCTTGTCCGGTCTCCCACCGCCTCGGGAGGATCGCCGGTGTCCCGGTCCTCCTCCACCTCATCTTCCTCATGGCCCTCAGATGCCTGCTCCACCTCCCACTCCTGGTCATTGTACCCACTTTGGTAACAGCCGGGTGGCCCCTAGGTATGAGGTGTGGGAGGAGCTGGGGGGTTACCGCCGCTAATAGGCGGGGTGGACAGGGGCGGCTCAGCTGCTCCTGCGGTGCCGCCAGTAGGTCCTGTCGGTTGGCTGCTGAGGGGCCGCGGCGAGCGGCGTTGCCACGTGCGCGGCGTTGCCACGTGCGCGGCGTTGCCACGTGCGCGGCGTTGCCACGTGCGCGGCGTTGCCACGTGCGCGGCGTTGCCACGTGCGCGGCGTTGCCACGTGCGCGGCGTTGCCACGTGCGCGGCGTTGCCACGTGCGCGGCGTTGCCACGTGCGCGGCGTTGCCACGTGCGCGGCGTTGCCACGTGCGCGGCGTTGCCACGTGCGCGCGCGCAAAGGGTGCAGAAGGCCAGGTGCTTTCACGCAGCTGTCCTCTGTCAGTGGGCTCCTCCCCTCCCTGTTCATTCTGGGCTTCCAGCCTCTCCTTTTTCCATGGATGTGTATCCCGCTCTGCCTTGAAGCTTTACTTCTTGCCGCTCACTCAGAAGCTTTATCAGAGGCCTGCTCGGGAAAACAGTTTCCTCAATTTAATTTTGTAACTTGAATGGTAAACTCAGTTTAAGAGGAAGGTTCCCTCTATGTTTTTCAAGGGACTCGGGCATGCTCACATCGTGATCATTTGAAAAGGGGAGTTTATTGAATGGTAATAAGGTTGATTCTGTATCTCCTAGATTCCCCTCCAAGAAACAGGGCCGTATGTGATTTGATGCACGCATAGCATCACTTTTCTCTTTAAAGCCCAGCTGCTCGTGAAGGCTGGTGACCTGTCTCCGTCTCTGTCTGAGGATGCCCTCTCCGGCTCAATAGTCAGCTCGGTGCTGGTGTCCTCCCGCCTGGCAGTACTTTCATGAACGGCCCTTCTACAAGTAGTTCTTCATCTGTCAAAAAAGAAGAGGCCACTTTTGATACTGAAAGTCTCACGGGACAGCTCTTTGTCCGTCCACAGCCATCCATCCCAGTCAAATCAATTGGGAATCAGCAAATACCTGAGTGCCATTTAGAGAGGAGAAAAATAAACCCCAACTGAAACATGATTGTCAACACAACAAAAGGAGACAAGGTATTGTTTTTAAAAAGTTGTTATTTGCTGAGAACATTCCATAGTGTGGAATATAGTAGTAACTATATTTAGGATTATTCCATTAGTCCTCAAGGGCCAATTTTGGGTGACTAAAGAAATGCCCAGTCTGGAAGACCCACTCAGTGAGACAAATGGCTAGGTGAGATCCTATCAAGGGAAACGTAGAGAAATTAGTGGCAAAGGAGTTACTTGAGTAGATAGAAGAGATAGGCCAAGGCCACCACAGGGCTGGGCAAAAAGAGTGGTGGGGGCATATCCTCTGAACAGTTTCATGGAGATCAGTTGACCCTTGGCTTCTCTTGAATATTGTAAAAAGTAGGAGAACAGAAGTGCCCGACAGAAGGGTAAAAATGGAAGTGGGTGTGTGATGCCTAGAACAGAGGTGATAGGAAGTAGAAATGGGTGACACCGATCTGTAGTTTAATGCAGAAGTATCTCCTCCCAGCCCAAATGTCTCACTTTGGGGCTGAGAGTAAACAGGAAGAGGAAGACTTCCAAGAAGACTTGGATAAGTCCCGAACTTATAAAGTCCCTTGCATAATTCCTAATTGTGAGTGGTAAATATATTAGAAATTATTCTGGACATAGAAAACATTGTGTGGTTAAATAATAACAGATTGCATTGGCCAAATCTGGGCAACTTGAGCATTCAAAAGAAAGATGATAATAAGGTGTAACATAAGTAACTTAAAGAAGAGCCCATGAGTTCATAATGATACTCAAAAGAAAAGAGGGAGCTATTATTTATAGAATAATGCAAGCTAATAAATGTAGAAGGAATAACAGAATTAGAAAAAAAGTGTCACTTTTAACCACCAATGTAGTAATCGATTCAGACACGGATTATCATTGATGTACAGTTGGGTAAAAACTTAAGAGTATAATTTTCACTGATCCCAAAGGTTCATCCCACAGATTATTTATTAATTACCAAGGAAAGATAAAACTTAACAATGGAGAGACCTGGAAGATACCACCTTCACCAAGTGATCAAACTTAGCATTATGGGCCACTTGAAGTGATAAGGCAGGAAGGACATATCGCCTATGTAGTATTCTTTCCAAAATAGTTTACCTTGAATCTAATCATGAGCACAGACAAATCCAGACTGTGGGACAACTTATAAGACAACTGTCTTAGACACAAAAAAATTCCAGTGTCGCCAAAACCAGTTTGGCTCAGTGGATAGAGCGTTGGCCTGCGGACTGAAAGGTCCCAGGTTCGATTTCGGTCAAGGGCATGTACCTGGGTTTCGGGCACTGAGGCGGCTGATCAATGTTTCTGACTCTCTATCTCTCTCCCTTCCTCTCTGTAAAAAATCAATAAAATATATTTTTTAAAAATTCCAGTGTCATAAAAGATTTTTTAAAAGGTTAGGAAAATTTTTTAGACTAAAAAGACAAAGACATGACATGTGATGGCTGATCTTTGAGTGGATCTTGGATCAAAACAAAACAGATTTAAAGAATATTATTGGAGGGGGAAAAGAATATTCCTGGCTTTTGGCCAAGTTGGAGTAACTGGGACCAATTTAACCTCCTGTGTAAAACAATTTAAAAAACAGACAAAATAGCCGAAACCGGTTTGGCTCAGTGGATAGAGCGTCGGCCTGAGGACTGAAAGGTCCCAGGTTCGATTCCGGTCAAGGGCATGTACCTGGGTTGCGGGCACATCCCCAGTGGGAGATGTGCAGGAGGCAGCTGATCGATGTGTCTAACTCTCTATCTCTCTCCCTTCCTCTCTGTAAAAAAATCAATAAAATATATTTTTTTAAAAACAGACAAAATAATATGTAGGAACAGTTTTCAAGGAATTTCACCTCACACAATGGAGAACAGGGACCCCAAGACATAGGAAGTAAATGAAGTGAGACCTATGATTGCCCTAGCTTATGGCTCTGAGTTTCCAGGTCATGATGGAACTAAGAGTCGGGGAAAACCAAGGTGACTAGACTTTACAAAGCAGAATACTAGAAAGCAAAGAGGTGCACTGACAAGAACTCTGGGGATATGCAGAGAGATCTCTTGAGTATTCCACAAAGTACTAGTCAGTACATGTGTATGAAGAATTGCTTGAAGCCAGGAAAAGAACCACCCAGTGTTCCCAAAAGCCAGAGATTAAAAACTACAGTGTCTAAATGCAAAAGACACTGGACAGGATTAATGGCAGATTAGACACTGCAGAAGAAGAAAAGATACATGAATTTAAAGCATAGCAATAGAAACTATACAAAATGAAATGCAAGGAAAAACAAAACAACAAAAATGAACAACTGTGAGGATTAAGTAAACTAGGATATGCAAGGTGGCTGATACACAGCACACGTTTGCCACATATTCCCTTTCTCTGTTCTTTCCTTAACCTGAATTCAAATCACTAAATTCAACTTTGCACCAGGCCCCGCCCCACCACCCTCCCTTTCAGCAAACACTGGGGGAGGCCTGTTTCTCCGCCTCCACCTGCTCTGAAGTGATCAGAGTTCAGAGCACAAAGTGATCAGAGTTCAGAGCGCTAAGTGGTCAGAGAGGGAACGACCAGCAGTAAGTAGGACATCTTCACTCAGCCGTCTCCTGAGGCTGAACTGCCCCACTGAGAAGATGAAGGTCTTCGTGGCTGCCCTCTTTCTTCTCCTCAGCCTCAGCACTGCTTCTGCTTCTGCTTCCCGCAGCCAGGCAAGTGAGTCCACCTGCCCCTGTAGGGCAGCGATGAGCAAGGGGACCGGGGCAGCTGGCAGTGAGGTGACACCAAGAACGCTGTCAGATCTCTGTCATCATCCTTGGGGCCTCTCCCCCTCCCGCATGCTTAGCCACTATCTTGAAACTCTTCCCTTCGTAAGTAGCTGGGCTGTGGTCCAGATCCTTCTGGGGTTGGGCAGTTTGGGGAAGATGGGTCAAGGTTATGTCAGAAGTCCCAAGGGATGAGCCTTTAGGAAGAGGAGCCAAGGAAGTAACAGAAGAGACAACAATAAATGTATGTGCTGAAGAGGCAGGCAAGGCAAGTGGATGAGAACAGCCTGCTCTCTGGGAGAGCAAAGTGTTGGGTAGGCAGGCTGAGCGATGTTTGGGGCTAAGCTCAGAAATGAGGAGTCTGAACCTAGACACCCCTTCCTGGCACAGACTGCTGGGACTATCATGGCAACCAAAAGGGGTCCCAATGGGATGCTCACCCAAGTGTGCCATTTGGGGTTTCATGACTCCCATCTCCACCCCACCCCCCCAACCCACCCCACCCCCAGCCTAGATCTAAATAAAGTCTGTGGGAAAGGGGAAAGGGGTTAAGAGGTTTTGGAGCTACAGAATGCTTGGGAACTATGGAGAACAAGATTTGTTTCGCCTTGCTTTACCCCTGCTTCTACCATCATATATGAGGACCTGGTGACAGGGAAGGGACCACTCAGTCCTTCCACATACCTGCCTTCTGCTGCCCCAACCCTTTTCTCCCTAGGCTGCCCTTGGCTTGCAGTCGAGCCCAACTCTGCCTGTATAAATATTTGGAGGAGCAAGGGTCGTGCACACCACATAATCTGCCCACACGCTCTCAGGATGCCCTGATCTAAACTTTGTTTTGAGAGCCAAGGACATTAATGTCACTGTGTGCAGAGGTGCATATGGTGGGACAACAATGCCCTCTGGGAGGTCAAGCAGGCCTGTGCGATGGGTTCAGGCTTCGAGAAAGAGAAAATGGCTCACCTAAAACACAAGTCAGCCAAATGGTGCGCTCAAGATGTTCCAAGCCTTGCCCCCAGCTGTGCTCAGTCCCTGCTAACAGGTGGCTTTGCCATCAAAGGAGTGAAGTGCAGTGGACGGGAGATGGAGGTCATGGGCTCCCTCTCTGCCTCCTCGGCTCAGCTTTCAATGTGATTCCCTCAGAAAGTCCTATGTCGGTGAACATTTCACCCAGCTGCTGCCTGAAGTATGAAGAGAAAGTATTACCAAGGAAACTGGTGGTGGGATACAGAAAGGCCTTCAACTGTAACCTGCCAGCAATCATGTAAGTACTTCCCTACAGATATTTCTGTGGAAAAGGAAGGGGAACCAAGGACTGGAATGAATGCATAAATCCAGTAACTCTCCATCTCCATACTAGAAGGAGGAGAGTAGTGGTTAAGGGCTTTGAATCTCACAGGACAGGCCTGGGTTAAATTCTTGATTTTGCTACTTATAGCTGTGTGACCCAATAAATCGTGCTCATAATGAAACCCAAGCCTGAGGGTCTAGGCTGGGTGGGGAAGGGGCTACAAGTAGGGTTGATGTGGTCTAGAGGCTAGAGAGGGAGGCCCTCTGATGGGGCCAAGATGGGGTAGGCCTAGGTTAGCCCTGTGTAAGCCAGAAGTGGGGGATTGTGGACTGGACCCCCACTCTACTCTATGGCCCATGACAGTCTAACTTTGTCTCCACAGCCTCGTCACCAAAAAGAAACGAGAGATCTGCACCAATCCCAACAACAAATGGGTCCAAGATTACATCAAGGATCCCAACCTGCCTTTGCTACCCCCCAGGAAGTTGCCCCAGGTTAAATCTATCTAATCAAAGAAAGGCCTAGCCCAGCTCCTCAACTCCTCATGATAGTCAAGCTTTGGTGGGAGCCCAGGTTCAGGAAAGAAAGGTGTGATCCTATGAAAAACGAGGGCAGCCTTACGGTCTGAATGACAGTCACATTCAGAGAAATGAGCCAGTGATCCAAAAAATAAAAGTATTTTGAATATTTTCTCAATCTCTGAGGAAATGCCAGAGTTAAGGGAGGTGAGCAGGCATACATTCTTAATACACAGAAAAACGCCTTCCACATCTTTCCCCTTGCTCACAATCTCTCACCTAACACCAATACAACAACCATTCTAATAATTGCATCCCGCTCCCAACCAGCCTGACCATCTCTGGCCTCTGACTCATTAAGAGCTCCACAGAATTCTTGACTTTTCTTGTCCATCCTTATCCTATTTCTAGATCTCTTCCCCTCCTACCCTGCCCTCTATTTTTTTTTTCTTTTAAAACATAATTTTTGGGAACATTTGAAATCTTGTGTCCCTGCATATGTCATCAGTTTGGCTTTGGCTTAAATAAACTTTTACAAAAATTCTCAGGAAAAAAAAGGAATAACTTTTTCTTAGCAGGCCAGGGTGAAACTATCACATGCTAATGATCTTTGTCTTTTTTTTTTTTAAGTGTCACCTGAGAATATGTTTATTGATTTTTAGAGAGGAAAGGGGAGAAAGAGAAAAAAACAACAGTGACGTCCAGCCACAAGCTAGGTATGTGCTCTGACCAGGAATTGAACCCACAAACTTTCAGTACATAGGACAATGCTCCAATCAACTGAGCTGCCAGGCTGATCTTAGACACTTTTGCTGAGGTTTTGCCACCTCCCTAAGATTTGGTCTCCCCCTCAGGTGGCATGGGTACAGAGAGTGTCAAAACAAAAGAAGAGGTGAGACTCTCTAGCTCCTACACTAAGCGTTTCGGGACAGGAAAAGGGCATTAGACTAGGTTAAGGGTAAAAATCTTGGTCCAAAACTCAACCATTCAATAAAGAAAATTTCCTTTAATCCTAACTTCATTCCTGACTTCCTTTTTGATAGGGTGGGAGAAACTTAATCTAGTTGTTTCAATAGCTCCTCAACATTCTGATGTGGTACATCTACACAATAGAATACTACGCTTCGGGGGGGAAAAAAAGAATTCTTACCATTTGCAACAGCATGGATAGAACTGGAGAGCATTATGCTAAGCGAAATAAGCCAGTCAGAGAAAGGTAAACATCACATGATCTCACTCATTTGTGGAATATAATGAACAACATAAACTGATGAACAAAAACAGATCCAGAGACATCACACCTCAGAAGGAAGGTAGGGGAAGGTGGGAGTAAGGGGGAGAGATCAACCAAAGGACTTGTATGCATGCATATAAGCCTAAGGAATGGACATAGACATCAGGGGAGTGAGGGCATTGGCGGGGGGCGGGGAGGGGGCGGAGAAAGGGGGGATAAGGACACATATGTAATACCTTAATCAATAAAGAGAGAGAAAACACATTCTAAGCATTTTGTCAAGGTTGGGAGCTGGAGAATTTACATGGCATCAAGGCCAGACATACATACTCAATATCCCCTCCTTGCTACCTTTCTGCCTCCAGCTCAATAGCTGGAAGCTGACTCAGAAAAAAGTCAACATTCCCCCAAAATGCTGTTGTGGAGACAAAACAAAAATCAGACATTTAAATATATATAATTAAGAGAAACAAATTCAAGTAAAGTGATCATTCTGAAAACTAGCCAATGATTTGGATTCTGGTAAATTGACCCATAACTCCTCCTAGTGGCCTCAGGTGGTAATACATGAGCCTGCCACCCCACCTCAACTGAAGCCCCTGACCACAGCTAGCCAATCAGAATCTCCCTCAGAGAGATGAAATCTGGACCAGAGAAACATAAGGTTGCTGTTGGAGCAGCATCCCAAGGGAAGAAGTCTATGAACTCTTGCACTGAAGTCCCTGGAGCTGCTGCATTTCCTGTCCCCCACAAAGGCTTGGAGGTTTAGCTAGTCTCTCAGTTCCTGAAGATGCCCCAGCATTCGTCCCATTCTTGTGTGTGTGTGTGTGTGTGTGTGTGTGTGTGTGTGTGTGTTGTTGTTGTTGTTGTTGTTGTTGTTGTTGTTTTTTAATCCCTGAAGGACCATGGTGGCATTTAACACCTCTGGAATAACTTTCTGCTGGTTTAGGTTAATTCTGGTTTGTGTCTGGTAAAGTATACATGCCACTTTAAGTATACAGTTTTAAGTGTACAATTCAGTGGGATTAAGTACAGTCACAGTGTTGTGCAAGCATCACCACTATTCATCTCCCAGAACTTTTCCATCTTCCCAAACTGAAACTCTGTACCCATTAAATAATAATGCCCCACTCCTCCTTCCCCCAGCCCCGAGTAATCATTATTCTACTTTCTTTCTCTCTGAACTTGACTACTCTAGTTACCTTATATAAGTTGAATCATATGGTATTTGTCCTTTTGTGACTGGCTTATTTCATTTAGCCTATGTCTTTAAGGTTCATCCATGTTACTTCATGAGTCAGAATTTTATTCCTTTTAAAAATTTAATAACATTCCATCTTGTTTATCTATTCATCCATCCATGGAAATCTGGGTATTCCCCTTTTTGTTTACATTAGCCAGAGTTAGCAGATCTTGGTTCCTGTTACCTGTGCCAAAAGCACTTTAACTCTTACAATGAAACAACAACCAGTGTTTTTCCTGCCCTTGTCCCTCCACAGGGGGCTGGTGTTACGTGCTTTCGACCCTACTGGGCTGTGAGCTCCTGTTCCTTGATCCAGAAATGGCCACTGAATTTGACCTATAAAGGTCATCAGTGACTTTGAGGAGAGGTCTCAGTGGAAAGTAGTGATAGAAACCTAACCAAAGGGGTGGGAGACAGAATGGGAGGTGTGGAAGTAGGGCCTAGGACTCTACATAGACAACTCTTCTAAAAACTTTTTTGTGAAGAAAAGCAAAATTTAAGGCAAGAGCTAGAAGCAAGTATGGTTTCAAGGGAGTAAAAATCCTTGAGGATTTAGAGCATGTTTGGGTGTTAGCTTCAGTTTTCTTTGCTATAAAATGGAAACCAAAAAACCCACGACTACAGGTTATAGGAGAATCAGACCAGTTAACAGATGTAAAGTACCCAGTACTGTGCCTGGCTCACAGTAGAGATTCAGCACCGATGGGCTCCCCTCTCAGAGAAAGGAAGCTTGAGTCCAGCAGGTTTTCACTGTAAAGGCAAGATGACAGTCTTCAGTTCTCACATTGCCAACTATAACAGAGGAAAACTGAAAGCAGCTTGCAGCTAAAACTTAAAGAACTAAACTAAGATCTGATCACCATCTACTGCAGACATGAAAGTTTGCAGTTTGAACTGGTCATAGGATTGGCTAAATGCTGACTCACTGGTTAGAGTGTTGGCTCATACTGAAGATCCCGAGTTCAATTCCTGGTCAAGGACATGTAACTGGGTTGATCCCTGGGGCCTGATCAGGGGGTATATGGGAGGCAACCAATCCACATGTCTCACATCAATGTCTCTCTCTCCTTTCTTCCCTCCCTTCCACTATGAAAATCAATGGAAAAAATATCCTTAGGTGAAGATTAAATAAATAACTAAAAGAACAGCAAGAAGCTGCATAACCTTTTCTAATCTAGCCTCTATGTCAGTGATGGCGAACCTTTCGAGCTCGGCGTGTCAGCATTTTGAAAAACTCTAACTTAACTCTGATGCCGTGTCACATATAGAAATTTTTTGATATTTGCAACCATAGTAAAACAAAGATTTATATTTTTGATATTTTATATATTTAAATGCCATTTAACAAAGAAAAATCAACCAAAAAAATGAGTTCGCGTGTCACCTCTGACACGCGTGTCATAGGTTCGCCATCACTGCTCTATGTACTTCGCATCCCTCTGTCGAGACAGTCATAGAGATCTGCCCAGGTTCAAGCGCCGAGGACATAGTCTCCATCTCTTGATGGAGGAAACATCAAAGAACTTACAGACATGTTTTTGAGTCACCACATCTGTAGAATAGAAAGAATAATACCAATGTCTGTTCTCAGGAGAGTTGACGTAAGGCTTAAATAAGATCAAGTATACCTGGCACACTGTATATTATAACTCCAGCTCTACGTGACCACAGGCAATTTGATCAACCTCACTGTGCCCCAGTGCCCTTGCCAATACAATGGAACTGGAAATTGTACACCCACCATACAACTGCTGTTAAGATAATTCATTTAAAGCACTTAGCATAATGCCTGCCACATAGTAAATTAAAGCTCAATAAATTTCGACTGTTGTTTTTACTAACCACTATTGAATTATTGTTATCGTCAAGAGTCTTCAATGACTTCACCACAAAGGAGGAGAGGGGAGGGGGGATAATGAGAATTACACACGAGAGCTGATGGTTTTCAGCCAATTCTCAGGCAGGAACTTATGAGGAAGGTCACAGAACTAGTCCTCATCCCATCCTACCTATTATCCCCTGCCCTGCGAGATGAGTGCTGTTGGGCTGCCAAAGGATGCTGTCTAGAGATTGACAAGGCTGAGCCTTTGCTCAGGCAAATAGCAAACCCAAGGGCCCCACTGAGTACAGCCCCACCGAATTTTGGAAAAGAAGATACCCAAATCCAGACAGGCCAGCAATACCAGGCACATCTGCCAAGGGGAACACTTAGAATCTGGGGTCTAAACTCCCAGAAAGCAGTGTCAAGAGCAAGGCCAGTTCTTGGTCTTTAAGGAAGTTTTGGAAACCACTCAAAAACTAGGATCTTGTAACTAAAATGAGACCAGAAGTCCAGTCCTGAAAAATGGTACATGCCCTTGGTAGATGAATACGGAGACACCAGGGAAAGACTTGGACTAGGAATTCGGGGCAAGACAGGATCTTGGTCCTTCCAGAACATGGGAGAATGAGTATCACGAACTCAAAGGCAAGGCCAAAGTTGGAGCCATGTCCTTTTAACTGGAACACATGACAAGAAAAAGGAGAACACAGAGAGTGGTAATCATTGCTATTTATTGAGTGTCTTTCATGTGCCAAGTATGGTACTGGGAGCACGCTGAATAACTTGGGGCCCAGGGACCAGTGACAGGGCATTGAATCCAAGGTCCAACTTTAAAAGGCCTCCCAGTCCCTAGGTAGTCTTCAAGTCAACCATGATTTGCTCACCAAGGAGCAACTGAGCCTACAAGTGGAAATCGGCAAATCTAGTTGAATAGGGGCAGGGTGACTCTCATTGCCCCTCATACCATACCTTGTATTTGCCTGTGACTTTGACTCTCCACAGGGATTATGTCTATAATGAAAACATACAACAAAGTCTTTCATGATGTCACCTCCAAATTACATTTGCAGATCATTCAGGTGTTGAGAAATGTAATAACCTTCATCATCAAGATGGGTATCATTTAAACTCCAGTTGCATCACTAGCGCATTGTCCATTATCTGACAAAGAGAGGTTCCATTTAGATCCAATCAGAGTTGAAACTCAGCCAGCTCCCTTATCTGGAGCTGCTGTAGTTGAGACACATGATAAATTAAAATGCAGCCAGCTCCTTCTCCCCAGTGAATTTCATTAAATCACAGGAAGTCTGCCTACAGAATTCCCATTGATCCAGTT